TTAAAACTAAATTAAAAAACTTCATTCTCTGTATGGACAACATTCTAAAATTCTACTAAAAATTTATGTAAAATGTATTTTTCAAATCTTCAGCATATTGAGTATTAAAATGTTAGTATATTGTATATTTGCATGATGTTATATTGTATTAGTATATTGCATATTTGCATTATGTTAAATCTTTGCATTATGTCTTTTTTAAGGTTCCGGTGATAAGATCCTTCTGATCTTCTTTCGGAAACCTAGTCTTATATTGTTAGTACGCTGAATTGTATATACATATATATATATATATATACTCATTTTTTTTTTTTTCTTTTCTTTTCTTGTAGAAGTCTTAAATATTTTTATGTATCAGACTTATATTATTACATATCACGACTTATATTATTATATATGTATCAGACTTATATTATTATATATCACGACTTGTATTATTGTATCACGACTAACATTGTAAACTAAAAAAAAAAAAAAAAAAAAAAATATATATATATATATATATATATATATATATATTACTTTTAAAAATAACACGATGTTTTCTATTCTTGATAGTTTTTGTAAAATTTATTTACATTTTCAAAAGATTGTTTTAAAATAAAACAATCTTTTGAAATAAAAAACTCTGAAAAAAATATTAAAAAATGAAGTCTGTTTATTTTGATAAAGATATTAAGAATTTATCATTAGTTTTACAAAATAATAATTTTCCTCAAAAAATTATTGATTCTGAGATTAAATCCTATAATATAGGATTCCTATCCTATATTATAGAATTAAGGATCCTATCTTATAGGATTAACACATAAGGATTAACACATCCTATATTATAGATTAACACATATAGGATTAACACATCCTATATTATAGGATCCTATATTATAGGATTAACTCATAAGCAAAGCTGGAATACACATATAGTTAGAGTTAATATTGACTCGGTGCTCAAATTACCCGAATCTACCCTATAGAAAAATTTTACTACATTCTTTCAAATAAAGTCAATAACAAACTTTTAACCTTAATATAGTAAAACATTTACATGTGATTTTTAAAAATGTGATTTACATAATTTTTAACTGCACTGTTAAAAAAATAGCGCGTTTTTTACGGAAAAGTTCCGGCAGCTGCCAATGACCAAACTACCCGTTATTTTACGGAAAAACCCATCGCATGCAAACAGATGTTTCCGTTAACAAACGGATTTTTCCGTTAAAATACAATGGGTTTTTTCCGTTAAACAACGGGTAGTTTGGTCATCGGCAGCTACCGGAACTTTTCCGTAAATAAACGGATACTTCCGTTTAAATTAAACAAGTTTTTCCCATTAAACAACGGAATAGAAACTCAGCTGCGGGAAAGTTTCCGTAAATAAAAGTAAAATTTAAATAAATTATTTCTAGCAAATCTTATATATATGAAATCAATGGCATGATTTTGAAAATATTTTCTGAAAACAAATTTTCTTTGATTTACATAAAAAATATTAAAATTTCATGATATGTGCAATAACACGAATAAAAAAAAAGATTAGTAAAATAATAAACACTTTCTAAAAACTTATTAACAATTTTAATAAAGTAAATACAAGCAAATAATAATATAATTATATCACATATTCCTATATACATTTACAATATAGATACACTTGAAAACCTCTTTAAGTAATATTATATATATTGGTTAAATAACAAATATAAATATAAGTAAATCAAAATCAATCCAAATACACAAAAATCCAGTCTTTCCTTTCTTTTTCGTTTTGAGTCAATTGTAAATCTAAAATAAAAATAAAAAAAAAATAAAGTTTTTGAGTAAAGATAGATTTTAATATTTAACAAAGTAATAAATTATAAAAAACACTCATTATGTGCAATGGTTACCATAAAGTTGTTACTCAATATGAGTGATTTAACTTAGGCCAAGCAACAAACTAAAATTGATTATATTCAAGTGGAATATAACCAATTTCAGTTTGTTTTTCAATGTAATGGTGATAACGCGGTGAGAATTAAAAGAAAAGATGATTTAAGCGGCAAAAAAGTTGAACGAAGCATTTGGCATTGACCATTAAAGCTAAATTTATGTTAACTTTTTCAGATGAAAAACTTATCAATAAAAAGACAAACCACCAATTATTTCTGAGTTACCTAGAAAAGTCTAAGATATTGAGAAAGTCAATTAAATGTTTCATTGATAAAAAGTTCAATTTAAAAAAATGTTTCAAAAGGATGTTTATGTGCATTATCACATTGAGAAATCGAGAGGTTTACAAAATCAGGAAATTTTTATGGATTTATTAAGATAAACTGGAAAAAAGTCATTACAACTGATGAAAAACCATTCTACTTTAATTATTGTGATCAAAAGTCCAAACATATTTACATAATTAAATATCAAAAAGCACCGAGAGTACATTATCATAAAATGAAAAATTACCAAAATTTAACATGGTATTGGTTACAGGGCTTATTCAATAATGTAAAAGATATATGGAGCAACATCCTTCAAGAACTTATAAATTAGGCATTGATGTCTAGGTCTAAACATTGTAAACATTGTATGATAACAAAGGTCATCAAATTGAACATTTATGGAAAAAAAAATTAGGAATGGAAAAAATATTGCTTTTTAATTATGTTTCCATTTCAATATCACATGACTGTATGTATGTGTGTATATATATATATATATATATATATATATATATATATATATATATATATATATATATATATATATATATATATATATATATAGAGAGAGAGAGAGAGAGAGAGAGAGACATATATATGAATATAGACATCAAACATCATCAAAACATATCTAAAATTAAAAAAATTAGTTAACCTTTAAGAATCCTCATCAATGTCATTAAAACATTCTCAAAAAGAAAAATTTTTATTTTATATGTAAATTACATATTAATAACATATTAATATTACATTGTAATAAAATATAATAAACGCTGTGGATAGAGTACCGAAAGTTTTAACTTTCAATAGCGCGTTCATTGGTTGCTAAATATCACGTGTAAAAAGAAATCTCATTTTTATATATAGAGCTTATATTAAAACTTTCGGTACTCTATCCACGGCCTATAATAAAATCAGCTTATGTAAAGATGAAATATCCTCGCAGTTGGAAAGTCACGTGGTTAAGATAAATAACAATAGCGCAAGTTTTTACCATCTTGGATGGGGTAAAACAAATGATTAGTTGAGTTAATAAAGCAGGACAATTATTACAAAAAAGTGATTTAAAGAGTTTAAAAAAAGAAATATCGGTTTACGAATACTTTGAAAAATAAGATTTTAAAGCCGCAGAAAGGTATATAAATAAATTTGCAATCCTTGGAATCAACCGATGTCTATACAAGTTCCTTGCAAATTTTTGGAAAGATGATCAAATGGCCATGAGTTTAATACCATGACGTTTATAATTATTTATTAAAAAGTCTTATAATATATTTTTTTTGATGCTATAGATAATTATGAAGCATTATATGCTTATAAATATTTTGGCTAGATGCAGAAAGTTTTTCACAAGACATTAGGCTCTAGTTTTTTTTTGTTTTGTAAACACAAGTTGTCTGACTTTTGCGTTTAAAACCACTAAACCATCTTAGTCACCAGAATTGATTGAAAATAACAAAACCATCTTACAAAACATATATATTAAAAATCACTTAAAGACACAACAACCTTTGTGCATTTTTAAGACTTTTATGTTGTGCCATTGTTTTCGTTTCATAACGAAAGTTTATTTTCCCCAACTAAAATGGTAGATGTTCGCGGCAAAGATTATGACGTATTTCCGACTCCAAGGATTGACAAACAAAATAAAAAATTAGAAGTAAAAAAATACCATAAAACTGACCAAAGAATTTTTTCTAAATATAATTTTCACAAAAATATATTTACATTTCAATTAAATAATTATGAAATGTGCAGATAATTCAATCGTATATATATTCAGAAGATAAATTTTCTTGGATATTTACAAATAGTAATAAAATAATAACTTTAAACACCATTTAAGTATATATTTAACATTATAAGTATACAATTATATATATATATATATATATATATATATATATATATATATATATATATATATATATATATATATATATATATATATATATATATATATATATATATATATATATATATATATGTATATATATATATATATATATATATATATATATATATATATATATATATATATATATATACATAAACTAGAATTGGTTATATTTAAAAAACGCGCTAGCTAAAAAATATTGTAACTATGTACTTATAATGTTAAATATATACTTAAATGGTGTTTAAAGTTATTATTTTATTACTATTTGTAAATATCCAAGAAAATTTATCTTCTGAATATATATACGATTGAATTATCTGCACATTTCATAATTATTTAATTATTTAAGTATATATTTAACATTATAAGTATACTATTATATATATATAATATATATATATATATATATATATATATATATATATATATATATATATATATATATATATATATATATATATATATATATATATATATATATATATATACATAAACTAGAATTGGTTATATTTAAAAAACGCGCTAGCTAAAAAATCTAAAAAGTTTTTTTAATGTAACAAGTTTGTATGATAAAATTTTACTATAGCTTTTATAATATACCTTTTTTCAACAAAAATATCCGTGTTTCAAAATATATTTTAAAAGAAGGAAAACTTCCGTTCAATTTTGTTCAATAGGTAGTTTCCGTACAAATAACAGAAAATAATTCCGTAAAAGTACGGGAAGTTTTAACAGTGTGAAGTGTCATATTTCGTATCATAAGTTTTTTTACCTTTAATGGTAAAAATATTCATCATAGTTTAATTAAAAATCAAACATACATTGTATTTTCGACAAATAAAAACATCTTAATAAACAAGGTTTTTCATTCAGATATTAAAAACTTCCATTAATTCCATTATTTAAAATTCAAAACGTTTATTTCAAGTAAACTAATATGTTAAAAAAGGTGTGCATATAAATACTGCTATAATTTTTTTGTATAAATATATGTATTTGTATGTGAAGATATTTGTATAAGAAGTAACTTTCTATTTTGTGTGAGGTAAAATTATGTAATATTTACTGTTTTTATTGTTGTTAGTTTTTTTTAATTTTAATATAATAAAAAAAAAAAAGAAAAAAAAACTTTTCTGCCACTTTTAATTGCTTTTTTTTTCCAGACCTTTAAAAGTGTCCGTAAGAAAAAAAAGTGTCCGTCAGAACTGAGTTTAACAGTTCAAAGGTCAATTCAAAGAAGACGCGATATTTCTTTCATCTATTTCTTCTTGTGACATAAAAGTTTATTTTTTCAGTCCTACGTTTTTCAACTTAGTAGAATGTTCAAACAGATTGGTTATAAAAAACAGCAAAACAGGTTAGTTTAAAGTTTACATACATACACATATATACATATCTATATATAAATAAATTCAAAGATATAAACTTTTATATACACGTAAACCAAAACGCATATTCATACATATACACATTGACATATATGTATATATATATATATATATATATATATATATATATGTATATACATGAATAAATGCATACATGTTATTTACAAACAAAATGTTACAATATTACAAAATTAGGAACGATGCTTTTTATTGAAATATCTTTAAATAAGAATGGAAATCTAAAATAAGAATCAAATTCTTAAAATACGAATCAAGTTCTTAAAACAAGAATCAAGTTCTTAAACCCGGAGGTTTTTTCGTAAACAGCAAATAAAAAAAAAAGAAAGAAAGAACAATTAATTGTTATGATTTTATAACAATATTTATAGCAATTGATTGTTTTTTTTTGCTTTTTACGCAAAACCTCCGTGTTAATTTAAATTCTGCCGATAAATTTGAATTTAGTTTTAGATCGTTAATGTTAAAATTTTACTACATAAGTGCCCTCGTGTTTGAGCGATGGCAAGCTTTACAGGGTAGTTTGTTGACAGGACTCCGCCATCCCAATTTTTTAAAAAGTATCCTCATAAGGTATAAACAAACTTAAGTTTGGAGTTTGCACAATGTATGAAAGTGTCCTATCTGGAACATCAAAAAATCCTGCAAGCGCTCATGCCACCCCTAATATACTGTTTTTATTCAACGCTCGACCTAAGTACAAAAGTAAGTTTGATAAAAATAATAAGCCAATAAAAAATAAGCTAATAAAAAAAAAGCCAATAAAAACGAATTATGTTTTGCATTATTATTGTTGTGCTTATAAACAATATTGTATTTACACTAAAAAAATTACTTCTTATTACTTTTAGATTTTAATACTAAAATTGTTCTAGGTGGGAAATGTGAGTGTTTTATTTGTGTTAATGAGCGTAAAAATGGTACTGAAATAGCAAATCTTCCACTAATGGTATCATGTGAAACTAGTACAAATATAGATCATAATCACTGATTTAAATCTTTCCACAAGCAATCAAAATCTTTTTCTTTGCAGAAGTTTTCAACAAATAAAAAAAGGTACTAAACATTCTTGCACAATGTTAGCTAAGCAAAGGAAATTGACGCATTGTACAATCCACCTCACCTATAGCAAAAAGAAAAATTTTATCAACTACAATTAACAATTTAGTAACCCATGACGCAAAAATAACGTTGAACAATTTTTGCCCAAGGAAGCTTGTTGTTTCTATTGGAGTAGTTAACTAAAAAAAACTTACTTTTTACACTCTTTCTTTCACACTGTACTTTCACACTGAAACTACTATAGGGGAAATTTTATATTGGGTATAGATTGTCTACTACAAAATTCAAAATATACAAACTATTTTAAAAAAACATTAATTATTTTTAAACATTTGTATCAAATTTACTAGTGATTATAAAATGTTAGAAATTGCCCGATTTATATGAATGAAAGGAAAAAAAAAAATCTGTATTATAAAAAGTTAACAAAATAAAACAAAAGTCTATTGTCTTTTGTTTGATGCTGAGATTCAGTCTAAACAAGATACCAGTGATAATAAAAAAGTGGTATTACTTAATATATAGTAAAAGTGGTGTATATATTTATATATATATATATATATATATATATATATATATATATATATATATATATATATATATATATATATATATATATATATATATATATATATATATATATATATATATATATATATATATATATATATATATACATATAGTGTTTTACTTTAACTAGCTTTACTAAAAAGATCTATAAAAATTATATTTTTCAACAAAAAAATTATTTTATGCTACATTTCTGAGTAGGAAACAATATTGGCGCAATATTGTGTACACACTTTACATGCTAAAAAAAATATTACGCCAACATTGTTTGCTACTATGGTAATAATTTTATATTTTAATTATTTTGAAAGTTGATAGCTTAAAATAAATTATTATCATCGGACTTAAAGTTGTTTTGTTATTATTTAGTGTATTGAAAGAACTATTCCTATTATACTATTTGGTGTAATAAGCAAAAATGTTGATGAGTTTGTTTGAACAGTTTTACAACATAGATTGGAGTAGATGGAGGGAAAGGCTCTCTAAAGATTATCATATCAATTGCATTATAGCCTAAGCTAGAAACACATTAAAGTGAAAAGAAAAGAGTGAAATATTCTGTTGAGTATGGATTTAAAGATTTTAAGTACAATAGTTTTCGCAAAACTTTAGTTTTGGCGGTATTACCCTCTGTTGATGAGAAAAGATAGCTAACTTTTAAAAAGTGATAAATTAGCTAATGTTCTAACTAGAAAGCCCAAATTGTTATCAGAAGTTATTTCTAAATATGTTCCTCAAAGAATCAATCCAATAGGTCAAACAAACAAACATATTATATGCAACTATTTGATCCACTCGCACGGTCTCAGGGTGAGTCAGAGGGGCATTAAGCTCAAGGGCCAATACTATAAACAAAAAAACGAAGTTTTTACCGTAAAACTCGTAATTTTTTGCTCTAACACGGAAAAAAAATTGTAAATTACAAAAGTTATGTATATACAAAATCTATTGTCCCTCATTTATTTATTTTTTTGGGGGTCTGGGGTTGGAAAATATACTTCATTAATGCCCTCAAATTTGGGCAACTTTTTGCAGGGCCTCGTCAAATGGTATAGGTATAAGTTTAAATTTGGAGTTTGCATAATGTGTGGAAGTGGTTTATCTGGAACATCAAAAAATCCTGCGGGCGCCTATCCATGTGTGTGCATAGAGAGAAACTATACCTTCTACTCCCTATACAATATATCTTCTAATGAAAGCAAACTAGAATCTTTAGTCAGAATTTTAATTTTTCTTTCGACTAGCTGGTAGTTTGTGTTTAATTAGAAAATCGAAGTACGTAGTTTGAAATTAACTCCCCCCCCCCCCCCCAATGCATTTCGTACGCTTTTTAAAGACTTTTCCCTTCCCCTCTATGAGCGTACGTACTTTATAGACGACCCCTTAGTAAGAAAATGAAACATTTTACTTAATAAATAATATCAAATTTATTTTAAATAAAATAACAACTTTATATAATACAACTAACCATACATCTATTTTTAGGTATTCAATCTCTTTCAGAAAATTTATTTTCACGCAAGAAACCACTTAGTAAAATTCAACATTTTTTTTAAAAAGATGCAAACAACTTAACTTTAGTATTATATGGAATGTCGGATGTCTATACACATGTCGGATGATTATACACATATTGCAAGAAATTATTGTGAAATATCTTATAACTTATATAAAAATATTTTTTGGATTGATGCAGCATTTGGAATGTTACAAACCTCAATGAGAAACAAATGTCAAGTATTAGGATTAGAGGTTCATGATTCGAAAGGAGATTATTTTAATACAAAATTGATTATTGAAGAAGTTCACAACTATTATAAAAATGAAAAGACTTTGTATATTTTTGACAATGTCGACGATGAAAGTGTTAAAAATTTGCCAATGTACATTTCAAGATAACCGAATTCATTAACGTTGATAACTTCCTAATCGAGAACATGGTCAAATAATGTAAAAAAAGTGCAAGTTAATGTTTCTTTAATTTTATTTTTTACATAAGCGAACGCTTCTGAAGAAGCATTTGCTTATGAAAAAATAAAATTAAAGAAAACAGCGACGAAAAAATAACAAACTTAATTACAGAACTTGGTTATCATCCGTTTGCAATTAGTCAGGCAATAAAATATATAAATATACATAAAATTTCGATTAAAAAAATACATAGATTGATATAGATCGAAACCATCAGAAATATTAGATGATAATAACTTTCGAACCGAAGTAGAATCAAAGTCTGCAATAAACGCAATTAACTTAGTTTTAATAAAATTAGAAAAAACTAAACCATCAGTTTATAATTTATAACACAAATGTAAAATCAAATGGAAACAAACGATGAATCTTAAATAGATGAAGCAATTAGATTACTAATGAAAAAATATACAATACACGAATTGACACAGTTAGCACATAAATGTTTTCGAAAGAGGAATTCAAATACAAACACATACCTTGATTTAATTGAAAGTGATTTTAAAGTTGAATTGAATAAAGTAAATTATCACATGGATTTCGGAAATCATTTTATTTTTCATTTTATCTATATGTTTCGTACTAACGGAAAAAAATTTTCGGAAGCCTTCCATCGTATGACGACTTCTATACAAAAGTTATTCATATGTAAAAGTTTATTTGAAGAAACAATTAAAATATTAAAAGCTGTTCAAAGTTTTAATACAGAAACTCATGGTAAAAATAACATAATGACGCTTGTTACAAAGCATAATATCGCAAACTGTTTGAATAATATTGGAAAATATAACAAAGCTGTAGAAATTTATTATTCTGTTGATAAAATAAAAACTGAAATGCTAGGTATTAACCATCCTTCTACAATAACAACAAAACATAATATTGCACTCTGTTTGAACAATATGGGAAAATTTAACGAAGCTTTGGAAATTTATTATTTTGTTAACAAAACAAAAAATGAAATTTTAGGTATCAACCACCCGTCTTCAATGACAACAAAACATAATATCGCACTCTGTTTCAACAATATGGGAAAATTTAACGAAGCTTTAGAAATTTATTATTTTGTTGATAAAATAGGAACTGAAGTTTTAGGTATCAACCATCCGTCTACAATAGCAACAAAACATAATATCGCACTCTGCTTCAAAAATATGGGAAAATATAACGAAGCTTTAGAAATTTATTATTCTGTTGATAAAATAAGAACTAAAGTTTTAGGTATCAACCATCCGCCTACAATGACAGCAAAACATAATATCGCAGGCTGTTTGTTCAGTATGTGAAAATATAACGAAGCTTTAGAAATTTATTATTCGGTTTATAGAAAACAAACTGAAATTTTAGGTATTAACCATCCAGATACAATGACAACAAAACATAATATCGCAGGCTGTTTGACCGAAATTTGAAAATATAACGAAGCATTAGAAGTTTATTATTCTGTTGATAAAATACGAACTGAAATTTTAAATATTAACCATCTTTCTACAATGGCAACAAAACATAATATCGCACTCTGTTTGAACAATATGGGGAAATATAACGAAGCTTTAGAAATTTATTATTCTGTTGATAAATTGCAAACTGAAATTTTAGGTATCAACCATGCGTCTACATTGAGAACAAAACGTAAAATTGCAATCTGTTTGAATAATTTATAATATTACCAAAAAAGTTGTTAAATTATTTTATTATTATATTTTTTTAAATATAAACTAAGATTATCTCTTAATAAAATATACCCGGTGGGAAATGAGCTAGCGACTAGCGAGCGATTAGCTAGCTTTAAAGCGGTTTTCAAGCATTTTTTTAATTTTATTTTTTGCAAATGTGTTTAACATCTTTAAAAATTCAATTTTTAGTGTTGAGTCTATTTTAATTATGAAAATAATTGTACTTTAAACATTGCAATTTTGAAGCAATGTGTCGCTAGTTTCATATCGTAGCTTTGTAGCTAGCTACAAAATATTTACAAATTTATAGCTGGTTGATGGCTACATATCAAAATTTTTAGACAACGATTTTATTACGATATAACGCAACGGTACAATAGCCAGTGAATCTTAAGCTTATTAAGCTAGATGTCCTCTTAGCCAAATCCCTATCTTTATCTTTAAAAACATCGATAGCTTTTCGCTAATTTAAAAAAGCTAGCGATCCTCGCAACGAAATCGCTGTCTTCATCGTAACAATTATAGCTAGCTATTCGCTAGCTGATTTCTCAACGGGTAGTGTTGTGACCAAATCTAAAAATTGTAACTAATTAAACTAAAAAAACCTTAAATAAAATTAAAGTTAAAATAACATTAAAAGGTTTTATATTGGCACTTGAAGAGCACAATGGAAAATACAGCAGAGTCACATTTTTCACATTTTGAGAAAATCTAAATTAAAGGTTTGAAACCTTTTTATTACAAATTATGTGAGAAACTGTCAGTTCTTTTAATTTTTAAGGAAAGGTCATCCATTTAAGCATCAAATTTTAACAAATAAATATTCTGAAAATCATGTTAGCTCATGGAAAATTTTGTTTTTTCAAAATGTGTTTAGATTGGACTCTGCTGTTTTTTCCGTTGATTAGGACTTTGCCTGTTTTTCTATTGTAACACATAAGAAATAACTATATAAAACCATCGAATTTTAAAATTTTTTTATTTTAAACAAATAAAAAAAAAAAATGCATGAACATTCACTGGTCTCGACCCTCATCTTCAACTTTATCGTCATACGGCAGAGCATCATAGAATGGCTCATTGGTGATAAATTTTTTGAGGACTTGGAGGTCTTTGTACTTTGCAGCTGATATAGCCAGTCTGTCTTCATACAAAGCTACTGGCACTGCTGTGCATACTGAAAAATTGTTTTTTCTCGTTGGAACAATGATGTTTGTTTTCAAGAAAATACCGTTCCATGAGTCTCTGTGACAAACGGTTCCTGGACCTTCATCCTTGTTAAAAACCATTTCCCGAATGGGGCGCGTGGGGAACGGGCAGCCTTTCTTATAAAATGGCCTTAGAAAGCCGGAGAAGTTTTTGACCAGATCCTGTTTAACATCAGTCACGTTAAATGGTGTAGGATGTTTTCGTGCTTCACTAAATATTTTTATCCAGTCTTCTGGAACACTACCACTAGACGTTGAGATTTTACTGGACCCATGTCCCTGTCACACCCCATATAAGAATGTCCGCGCTCAGGGAATGTCAGTGTCACTGAGGTAAACCTTTTTCTATGGTGCACCATATAATCTAAAAACCGAATCAGGGTAAAGTTCTTATTCTGTCCTGAGCAGGAATCGCAGAATAGTTCGAGGTGAGTAACCTCTTCGCTGACCTTGGCTGTGATGTGGTCATACAGGAAAGAAGCCACCTCATCTGAACCTTTCCTAGCGACAGTCTCATCATAGCAGTAAAGAAAAACATCATCAGTTGATATTTGGTGAATGTTAAATGATTGGTATGTGAGCTTTCTGTTGTAATAAAAGTCATTGGTGGACTTGTTGGGTAGGTTGAGATTTTTTTGGTAGTCAAAAATAAACCGTCAGGGTTTATTAATTAACAAAGTATACATTATTTTATAAAAAGTTGCTAGAAGTAAACCTTCCCCTAAAATTACCAGATTTTTTTTTAAATAATAAAGAAATAAAACAGGAAGACTCTATAAAGTTCTTAGGGATACTTGTTGACAAGCACTTATCTTGGCTTCCCCATATTAAATATTTACAATCAAAAGTTAGTAAAACGATCGGCATGATGTACCGAGTTTGTCCTTACGTTAATAGTATATGTCTTAAATTAATTTATTTCTCCTTAATTCATTGTTTTATTAGTTATGCCAATATTACATGGGGCAACACGCAAACTAAAAAACTTAAAAAAATACTTAGTGTTCAAAAACATGCGTGTAGAATTATATACGGAAAAAAAAGAAGGGAGCACACTAAACCATTAATGCGTGACATGAAAATGATGAATATTTATGAAATAAATTTTTCAACACTTAATTTTCATGTATAAGTTTACAAATAACCTAACTCCAGTAAATTTTAATTGTAAGTTTAAAAAAAATATAAATGAAAAGTATTTCCTTAAAACAAACCAATCAAAACTCTTTAAATTGCCCAAGAAACTAAATAAGTATACAGAGTTTTCAATAGCATTTCGGGGACCAAAGATATGGAACTATTTTCAAAAAAAAGAAGCTAAAAAAGATAATATGGTAAAATCATTAAACTCATTTAAGTTGCAAGCAAAAAAACACATTTTTAATTCTGAGGAATTACAAAAATTCTTTTAAGTTTTATCAAAATAGTTTTACTTTTTTATTCTTTGAAATATTAATTGTACATTTTTTGTAGTTATTTTATGCATTGGTTTTATATGTTAAACCCTTGAGTATTTAAATTTGAAGTTTTACATCATACTTTTATTTGCAGTTTATTATAACTTTTTGACGACTTTTTATTTTTCTAGGGGCTCTATGAAAAGATAGTGGTGGTATTGTATCACCCATATCTTCTTTGAGTCCCGGTCTGTTTTTTTAAATTGTCTTATTTATTTATATATTTTATTACGTGAAAATCTTATGTAATTGATTTTATTAAACAGCAAAGTATATTCAAAACTTAAAAAAAAAAAAAAAAGGTTACAGCTTACTGATTGGTCCAAAGGGTCACGCAACCCTAAAGGTCATGTGACCTATATGGACCCTTTTTTAAACCCAAATAATTAAATATATGAAGATCACAATGGAAATCAAAACGGTAGAGTCACATATAACGTTATTATATGGACCCTGCCTTTTCTTTCCTTGTCACTGGTGGACACTGCTGTTTTTTCCATGGTATACCATTTTTTCTTATTCCATTTTACCATAGACTATGTCAGTTTTTTCATTTGAAACTTGGCTTAAAAGAAGCATTTTTAAATGCTTTATTACCCAAGGGCCATAACTGAAAAATTATAAAAATGTCGTTTTTTCCATTGTGGTCTTCATTTTTGAAAATGGTGCGATTCCTTTGATTAGTAAACCGGTAAGAATTACTCAATCAAGTGCCTCTTTAATTGATAATATTTTAACCACTGATGTTTTTAACGAATCATTAAAAAAGGGCATAATTAAAAATGACATATCTGATCATTTTCCTATTTTCTTTTCTATAAATATAGATGATAAATTAGTTCATAATGAAAAAGGAGTTTTCAAAAAGCGAATTTTTACAAATGAAAACCTTAAATCTTTTAAGGAACAATTATCTCTAATTGATTGGAGCATTATTAACACCTATGATAATACAAACTTAGTCTATAACTCCTTTTTTAAAACTTTCTATGATATTTACGACATTAATTTTCCTGAAGTTAATTTAAATCTTAAAGCTAAAAGTATCGAATCGCCTTGGATTACAAAGGGTTTGCGGAAGTCTTCAAAAATTAAACAAATATTTTACATTAATTACTTAAAATCTAAAACAAATGATAACAAAATTATATACAAAAATTACGATAAACGCATTAAAAGCTTCAAAAAAAAAAATATCATTTAAATTTACTAGATATATATAATTTAAATTTTAAACGCACTTGGTTTATAATAAGAGAAATTACTGGCAGCAAAAAATGTACATCTCACTCTTTGCCAAACACGGTTAAACATAATAATGAATTTTTATATGATAAAAGACAAATTACGGAAGAATTTAATAAATATTTTGTTTCTGTAGGACCAAATCTGGCAAAAAGAATTCCTATAGCTAACAGTTTAATGAATGATCTATGTTTCCCACTAAACTCTTACTAGAACTCTTTTGAATTATCTTTTAAAGAGTTTGAAAATGCCTTTAAAATGTTAAAATCTAACAAAGCAGTTGGCCCTGATGGTGTTAATGGCAACATTATTATAAGTTCATTTGATGTTCTAAAAGATATACTCTTTAAAATTTTTTCAAAATCAATTAAACAGGGAATTTTTTCACAAGCTCTAAATTGAGAAAAAATCATACCAATATCAAAAAAGTGATGACATTGAGAATATAAGTAACTATCGTCCTATTTCACTCCTTTCTGTATTCTCTAAAGTTTTAGAAAGAATTTTGTACAGTAAAATTTATAGTCATCTTACTTTAAACAACCTATTATACAGCGATCAATATGGATTCCAAAAAAATAATTCTACTGAACATGCCATTCTACAATTTACAAGAAATATATCTGACTCATTTGAAAATTCTCAATTTACTTTAGGTGTTTTCATTGACTTGGCAAAAGCTTTTGATACTATAGATCACGAAATTCTTATTAAAAAGTTGGAGTGGTACGGATTTACTGGAAAAATATTAATTTGGCTAAAAAGTTACCTAAATAATTGAAAACAATTTGTTTATGCGGATGATAACGTATCATCTAGTTTGTTAAATATTTCATGTGGAGTTCCTCAAGGATACATATTAGGACCTCTCCTATTTTTAATATATAATAATGATCTACCAAAAGTATCTAACCTAATGAAAATTATGTTTGCTGATGATTCTAACCTATTTCTTTCTCATAACAGCATTATTACAATTTTTAGCAATATGAAC